TTCATTTTTATATATAAACCTTCTGCTTACCTTTTCTATTGTTTATAACCAATAAACGTTTCGAACTGCGTGCAACAATATGCAGATTATTTAAGAAATATTAAAAATAATCACGAGCATACTTTTAAAATTTAAAAAGAAATGTTTAAAAATTATTAATAAAATCGTGCGATACAAATCGAATATTGTAATAATTATATTATAATTTTAAATTATGATATTCGGGGTTATGGTCATGACCCTTCGAGATTTTGATCATCGGGATTTTGAACGGTTCCCAAGAAAAACATTTGGTTAATAATAAAACCTCTAATGTTAACTTATATGTTCATGTGAAACTATATTTATTATTATAATGCCTTTTATGAATATTATTTAATTTTCTTTGTCAAAAATCTAAATATATCTTTTATTATCATTAAAGTTGTTAAGTTTTAGTTCTGCTATTTGTTTTCCATTTAAATGTGTGCAGGATTCCCTTAGCTTCTAAAATCATCAAGCAATCCCTTTATTATCATAAAACTATATAAGTTTATAGCTTAATATGTATTTTGAATTAATAAATGGATTTCAGAAAATTTGTAATTTATGAATGAACTTAAAATCTAAATTATGTAGCAACGATAATAAATAATTGCTCTTATTATTTTTGTTCTTTCAGCATATAAAATTGCAAGAACTCATTGATCTATAATTTCATTTCTGCAGTTTACCAATGATATATGACTTATTCAACTTTAATCACAAGTAATATTTATTCAGCAGGAATGCATCAATTATTATAAATAATGATTAGTAATAAGTTTATTATTTGAGGAAAAGTTACAAAAAAAATAACATCAGACATCTTTTCGATCATCAATTGTATCTATATAAACATTCATTTAACAATTTGATACAATTAAAATTGAACAAAATTGAACAAAATTGAATTTAAGTATCATTCTTCAAAATTTGAAATACTTCATAATCTTCTATTGTGAAATTTTCTTTTGTATCTCTTATTGCCTTTTCATAATCTGCTAGTTTACATATATTATTATTATTATAACCCTTATTAATAGTTGAATTCAAACCTAAACGAAGGTCATCATTAAATGAGGGACCATGACCACTCCATTGGCTATTATATATTGCGCGATCGATATTTTTTACCTTGCTTAAAATTGAATCCTTAAAATTATCCTTATTCTTAAAAGAGAATATAAAACTATCTTTAGTTATACCATATGCTTCATCATAATTAAACATATTATCATCGGGTTTCTTCCATATCAAAGGATTATAACCTCCAAGAATTCCTCCTGTTCCTTTTACTCTAGTTAATGTAACTGTGAGTGGCTTATTATCACATAATTCATGAAACTTTGCAACTTCAAATCCGTCTCTACTTCCTCTTAATAATAATTTAAATTTATATGGTAAATATAATTCTCTTAAATGAACAAACTTGCTTTGAATATCTTTGTTATCAATCCATCTTGAAATTATCGAAATAATATTTAAATTAACAATTTTTGAATCAATAACATCATCAATTTCTTTATGTCTAGGGAGCAATATACTTTCGCTTGGTTCACTATTAGAATCCAAATAAGAATTCAATAAATTCTCATAGAGTTGAGGATTTAAAAGCCTTTTATATGGACGAACTTTTTGGGCGAACTCGTCAGAAGATAAGCTAAAAAACCTAATTAAGGGTAAACAATGTTGCAAAGTATTTTCCACCAGTTTGAAATCATCATCGGACCAAGTTAAAGGATCTGGAACGAGTGTAGGATTTTTCTCAAGACCCCACTTTATTACATGTTCCCAAATATTGACTTCTTTCATCTGTAAATCGTCTCTTTTAATAAGTGAAATTAATGACTTTTCAGAAAACGAAGTAAAATCAAGTGATTTGAATACTTTTTCGGGCGATTTAGAAATAATTTCTGTACATAAATTTTGAAGATCTAATAAATAATTTGTTTGAGAGCTTATTCTGTATACAAGCTCAAAATGCTGTTCAATCCATTCAGATTTATTTTCGATTAAATTTTTTTGTAAAAATTCAATTAGTTCTTGAAGTAATAATTCATCAGCAGCTGCCAAAATTTTCAAGGTATTTGATATATTTTGTTCATTTATTGAAATAATCCCACCATAGATGTATCTAAATTATAAAAATTTAAGGGAATTATAAATAAACAACGTAAAACGAAGATAGCATCGCTTTAAATATATAACTTACTTCAAAATAATTTGAAAGATTTCTGGTGAAATGTTTGGTAATTTAATATGGGTTAATACGTTATCGTTACTTTTCTTATTGGAAGCCAAGGTTCGTCGCAAGAATGGAGAACGGTAACATAAAATAATCATGTGTGCACGAAATATTTTCACATTTGGATCTTTCCCAACTTCGATTGTAATATCATAATATTCTTCATCATCTAATATTTCAATATAATTTTGACTTAATTTGGGAAAAAATTGTGCTGACATACTCTTCAAAAAATTGTAAAAAGAGAAAAGAAATTTGCAAATCACATTGTGCTTATAATTTTATTTTATAAGTAAAGTCCGGAACACATGTGTAACGAAAGAGAATCGGACTCAATTATTGATCTTCGAGTCATGCACACACCGACTATATGTTTAATATCCATTTTGCGACGAATACTGGCTTCCAATAAGAAGAATAATGAAGAAGTCCTAATTCGCAAAATTACCAAACGTTTCGACAGAAAATTTTCTTGTTATTTTAAAGTATATTAACTTTTGTTTCCTTTTGCGTTCGAATTTTACGTTTACTGCTTTAAATATTTATAATTTTGTACGATATGATATTGAATACTGTTTACGAACTTCAAGAATTGGTTGAATTTTTACAAAAATACCTAATTGAAATAAAGCTTTTTATTTATGACAAGTTTAGAGCTTAATCATAAAATAAGCTTTCATTCTACTTCTTTGTTTGAATTTCAACAATATTTCACAAACATTATATCTAAATCCCGAGAATCAATATTTAAATAGCTTAAATTTGCTTCGCTTCCTTAAAAACCTTGATTCATTTTGCTGATGAATGAAGTTGAAGTTTTGGAGAATGAATTAAAATGGGGTTTGAAAAAATTCCTACTCTTATTCCAGATGATTATGGAAGATGGTTAACATCGTTGTTCAGATTCTTTAGTTTATCTTCTGAAAATTTCTTCAAAAAGTTCGTCCAAATCGATTTGAAGAACTCTTTTATAATATTTAAAAAAAGCGTTTGAAATATCAACTCTAGTTCTTAATAATGTGTCAAAATGACATTTTACCCCTTAGATGTATGGAATTATTGATGCAAATATTGTTAAAATTAATAATTTCCAGATCTAAAAATTGCTATATAAATTCAATCATTATGAAAAGGAAGCAGGGATGGTTTAATCCTACAAAGTTTTCATGAATTATATGATAATATAATCAACCTCATCTCATAAAGTCACCTTCATATGAACGAAGAAATTTTTAATGGATAAAAATCCTTTACCACTTCATTTTTATTTTTCGTTCATATGAAAAAAATTCGGTAAATATGGTCAAAAAAAAAGATAATTTCATATTTTCTTTTAAGAATAATGATAATTTTAAAGATAGAGCAGTATTGTATTGGACCTAAATTCATTATAATTTTTATTGCATTATAATAATATGATTATCTCAAAGATTCACATTAAATAAAATTCAAGATACAGAATATGAAGCATTTCAAATATTGAAAAATAATTTTAATTATTTTAGAAATTAAAATAATTAATAAAACTATTCATACAACAATAAATATAATAAATATGCAGCAAGTTATTATAATAAAGATGAAAGTCAAAAAAAAATCTACTGAACTGAAATACATTTTTTAAAGTTAAAGTTAGTCATAAAAATACATCTGTTCTAAAGTGAATCATCTAAATATATCTGTTTTCAGAAGGTTGTACATATAATAATTCAAAGATTTTGAAAAAGTCAACAAAGGTAGACATGTTATAATAATAATAAATTCTAGAGAAACTTTATAGGTTATTTAAACTACAAGATGCATATTGTCAAAAGTTTTTAAATAATAAATAAAATATTTACTATCACAAATTTAACTCTAAAATTAATAAAATATTGCCCATGTTGGGTTTGTGAAAATTATCTGCATGCGTGTTTTTCCTATTAATGTATGTTTTAAAATGTCGAGTTCTCTTGAATATAAATTTTGGCAAAGGCAAGACACAAACCCATTAAACAACTATGTATAAACTGCCAATAAATCCATTCAATCACCAACTTTTAAATCAAACCTAACCCTTGAAAAGCATTTGACAAATCATCCGAACAGTTGATTGGTACTTTCCATGATTTTTTATCACCACAGTCACAGAAAGCACCATTGCTGATGTTGGATACGTAAAAGTCGACATCATGTCCTAAGTGCTTTGTCGGGTTGAAGCAACTCGAACATATCACAATGCTACTATCAACTGAGCAAGTCCTGTAATTGATTAATGAAAATAATTAAATACACTTTCGATTTAAAGATGTAAGACAGAAGTTACTAAATTTTTACTAATTAAACATACCAGCATCGATAAACCGTTTCATCATAAGCAAATACATGACCGCATACTCCTGTGTGAGATCGAGTTCCAGTAGTAGAACTAGTTTTGTGAGAACGAGATCCAGTAGTAGAATTATTATTGTGAGAACGAGATCCACTAGTATAACTATTATGAGATCCCTTATTATAACTATTATTGTGAGATCGAGATCCATTATTATAATTATTATTGTGAGATCGAGATCCATTATTATAACTATTATTGTGAGAACGAGACCCAGTAGTAGAACTAGTAGTTTGAGATCGAGATCCATTAGTAGAACTAGTAGTGTGAGATCGAGACACAGTAGTAGGAGTCTGAGGATGATATTTGCAATTTAGGGGAATTCTCCAATAATCCGAGTCACCGCAATCACACCATGCACCCGGCCAGGAATTCGTGATTGAGATAACGTCATGCCCAACGTGATTTGATCCAGCGTAGCAACGACTGCAGATAACAGAATCGTTGCGAGTAGTACACGTTCTATAATAATAAAGTGAAATGTGAAGATTGAGGTCAAAACAAAATCGGGTTTAATGTTCAAATACATATTTATTATGATCGACGCTAATGCATACCTGCATTGGTAATATACTTCTTTAAGAGCGATTTTCTTGCCACAATGGGAAGTCCCAACTTTTTGTGTATTAGATGAGTGAAATTTGCAATTGAGATGAAACTTCCAATATTCCGGGTCTCCACAATCACACCATACGCTCATATTAGGATCCGTGAGTTTGATAGTTATAACGTCATGCCCAATATGATTTGTTCCGGTGTAACAACGACTGCAAAGAACAGAATTATTGCGAATAGTGCACGTCCTACAATGATATAAAACCTGTTATAATTGCAACGAAAATATAATCATGCAAGGTCAATTTTTTTTTTTAAATAATTGAATTCATGTCTTGATGACGCAAACCTGCAGTGATAGTACACTTCCCCCAATACTAAACTTTCACCGCATGTCCGATTCTGAGAAAATGATCCAGTTGACTTTAAAAATACATTTGAATGTTAATAATCAATTATGAATATACGATTTTGAGAGAAAAAAGCAGTTGTAAAAGTACAACTTACAACTGGAATTGGTGGCGTTGAAGGTGGCAGTATTTGCGGTTTAGGATTTGAGTTAACATTCGATTTCGCATTTATATAAAGTATAATTCCGAGTTGAGCATGAGACAAAGATTCGTTCAACTCTCTAATTTTTATAGAAATCTAAAATTTAAAAAATTTGCACTATAATGAATAATTATTCAACTCTTCACCCTGTATAAAATTAGCTTCACATTTTATACCTACTTCATCCGAATTTAACATATTTAACAAAGCTTTACCACTCCCTTTTCGGAATCTCAATAGAAACTTGCGACATTCATCTAGGGCTCGCATCAAATTCTCGGTATTTTTTTTGCCAAATGGATAATCGTCTGAAATGTTACGGATATGAACTTCAAGGGTCTCATAAACAGCACTCAAACGGGATTGTAATTCTTTGCATCGCTTGTTGTTTTGTGATGCCTCTCTGGCAATGTTTATTACCTCTTTCATGAAATCGATTACTATGGAAATTACTGGTGTATGCGTTCCAAATTTATTAACAACGTTCCACACTACTGTTGCCATGATGAAAGACGTTTATGTAAATTCAAATCAGGTTGGATGTTAGGGTGGATTTTCAAACAGCAAAGAAGGAAAAAAAAGTTTCGGCCAAACAAAAAAGTAGTCATATACATATATATGCAAGAAATCATTGCATGAGCGTGTAACATTTTATGCCAAATAAACGTTTATTTCCACAACAAAAACATAATATGAATACATTTTATTTGTTCCCATTGTTTGCTTATATTTGTCAATGATAGACAATTTTTGTGCTCCCATATAATAAAAAATATTGGATAATCATGTTCGGAATATCATTATCGTTATTATTATTATTTTCTAACTTGATTTTAATGAAAAATTACCCAAATGATTTAGCAAAAAAAGTACCCAGCACGAAACAGATTTTCAAGATATGATTGCACGGTACTGTACTTGTTTTATTAACGGTCAAAGACAGATATAGCCCCGTTCAATCTTAGATAAAAGTAGAGACTAGTACGTTTATTAATAATATTTGTATAAAGAATAAAATAATATCATGGATATGATGAAATCATAATAGAGATACTGAAAAATTATCAAAAAAAAATATAAAATGTTGATTTCGATCATAATCGAATAATACTTTGATTGAAATCAAAGAATTTGAAATAATAAATAACAAAGTTATCATTTATTATCGCTCAAATTTCGACTCGAGCTAAATTTATAGAATTATTTTTCTTGCCAATTAATATACTCTATTTCTTTACGATTTTCTTAAATATATTATATATTTATTTGGATTTTAATTTAGAAAATAAGATTAAAATGTAATTTGATTAATATTTAAAAGGATTAATTCCTTAAATTTTATCCCATCGGTATTATGTATACACCTGTGGAATTTCTTATCACTTAATCCACTGGTTTATAACAAAGAATTATAAATACGAAAATTTATTTAAATGTACATTTTTAAACTTGCAATAATTAGAAAATTTTGTCAATCCAATTCGGATTTTCTCTTTTTTTCTTCGAGATAATTGTGCTGAATTAGAATATCTTTATATTCTAGTCGCTTAATTTAAGATGCAAAATAATCTAAAAAGGATTTTATTTGATCGTTGATGTATTCTTTCATTAGTAGTAATTAAATATTTGCTGCTTATACTTCAAAATTCCATTTGAAATTCCTGCACAACTCTGTTCACTTTTATCATTCATTAATAAATACTTGGAAAATCATTTATTATAAGGGTTTATTGCTTGTTTTACAAAAAATTGATGATAATAATATTATTTTGTAAAGCATTTCTAGAGATAAATGAAAATTCCACCGGTGTATACGCCATACGCAATGAGATTATTATAATATTGCTCATTAGTCACACGTAATTTTTAGGCGTATTATAACGTAAAATTTACATGCATGTTCTCAGGATGTTACAGAAACCTGTATGGGATGGTTTTATATGTATGGAATGTATAGCTTTGCTAAAATCATCCATGTATGAATAAATCTAGAATTTTTCGTATTTAAAATATATGTCTTTTGCTATTAAATCATATGATCATATGTTCCGTAAGGTGATTTTAATAACCGACCATAACGTGATTTTAATAGTCGTTTAAAAATGTATAATAATAAAATTAGAATTTATAAATTCAGCAACTATTGCAAAATATTAAAATTTAGAATTTTAATCAAATATAAATTGAAAATAATTTTGTTTGTCTTAGATTTATATAAATAAATTTCGTCCAACTAAAAAAGTACAAACAAATAAAATTTATTTTAAATTTGAAATGCAATTACACAAAAAGGTTATATTCATGCTCAGAATGTATGGAAAGAGTTTGGATGTAAAAATCTGGGTGAGTACCATGACCTTTATCTTAAGTCAGATGTACTCTTCTTGCGGATGTTTGAACTAGATTCCAAAAAACATGTATGCAGTATTATGAACTTGTTATGTTTAAACAATTATTTGATTTAATAGTTTAAAACCATATTCATACATAGAAATCATCTCATACGTGATTGCTATTCTCATAATATAAATCAGTCGTTATTATCAAAGAGTATAAAATATCAAATAGCAAATTAATTATTAACGAAATATTTTCATTACAAAGTTTTGTATTAGTACAAAATTTCAATAATGAACTTGTTTAACATCTCTTCAACTTTTCATATTCAAAGAACATTTTATTTCAGACGCTGATAGGTTATGAAACTGTGCCACTAATGGTAACTTTAGAAAATTAAATTGTTCCATAATTATATCCCCCAAATTATTTCTTGACTCGATTATAAATGTATAAAGTTAAATATTAAAATCTTTGTTCTTCCAAAAGAATTTCGTGCTTATGAGGTGTATGTATTGTATAATATTAAATTTTTGCAATAAAAAATTACTGCTCCACATGCAATTGCGTGGTAATTAACGATTTAAAACTATCATTAAAAACGTACTGAATTAGAAGTAAACCGAATTTAAAATGGATTTTACAATTTGAAATGATATTTTGATTTTTGATTTTATATCAATTTTACATCTATATAAATTATATCAATCTGTCTTGCACTAAATTCAACCGAGGATGGATGAATATTTGGGGAACCCTCCAAAAAATTCGAATCACCAACGATTATGATAACATAATGCTCAGACTTTCAAATGTAAATGTAAAAGTAATTGATATTTGCTCATGATATTGCAAGCGCTATATTATTTTTACATGATAATAAGATTATTCATCGAGATCTTGTAGGTTTAATAATTAATTATTATCAAAGCTTTATAATGTAATTTTAATATATTATATATAATTAATATAATTTATATCTTTTTTTTTCATTTTAGCATCCCGACAACATCTTAATTCATCAAGGAACAATAAAAGTAGCGGACTTTGGGTGTTCGCGCCTGCAAGGATCAAATTTCTATACCAAAGTGTCACGTGGTGTAATCCCTTATATGGATCCTATGTTTTTGGAAAATCATTCGTATGATTTAACCGAAAAATCAGATATATATAACTTTGGGAGTATTGTTCTGGGAATTAACAAGTTGTTCATCACCTTTCAATTTTGAAAAATCAGGCGATACTTCTATTCAGTTCGAAATTCTTAAAGGTGTAAGAGAAAAAAACCCTAACCACAAATGGTAGATTTGTTAAGCTTTATCAAAGTAAGTTTAATTTTTATTTCGTTAAGGTTAATTCTTTTTATTACGATGTAATCTCAATAATTTATTTAAATATAATGTTGGCAGCATGAACCAAATTAAAGACCCGATATTAATCAAGGAACTTAATAGTATTTAATCATTCTTATTCTAAAGAACCGAAGTAAGAAAGTGAAGGATGTGAAAGAAGAATTAAAAAGTGAAGAATGTGAAAGAACAGAAGAATTGGAAAAATGAAGAAGAAATGTAAACAGAATTATTAAAATATGATGTTCACTTTGCAGATTATAAATTTAAAATCAGAAAATTTCAACATTGGCAAAGGGTTTAAAAAAATAAAAAAATAAAATCTATTCTTTCATTGATCATGTATTTCATTCTGATCGAAACTTTCAAATTTAAAGTTTGTGTTATAAAATTATTTTAAAATTACGTTATCGAGATAGGAAAAAAATAAAATATATTTTAATTTACATGACAAACCAAATTAATTATTTTTTTTAACGAATGTTTAACTTAGGAAAGTGAAGAAATAATACAACATAAAACCATTTGTTTCATGTAATCAATCATAAATTTCATGAAAATTAAAATACTGCCCACTATAAACCCTTCAAAATTTTCAAAATTTATCATTAAACTCAGAAATTAAAATTAAGTTAAATATTGAAAATTGCTTCCAAAACGAACATAATGATTCACCAAGACCCAATCCTGACTCAAAAAATAAAAATAATTCTACGCAAATATGGAGCCCATATGATGAAACAACTTTTTATTTAAATTAAAGTAAATATATCACATGCATAAAAGTACAGTACAGTTGTACAGAAAACAATATTATTGTTGCATTTGCAGAACATGCATGCACATTTACGCCTTTCTTATGGAAAATGTGATATCCGGACATTTTATTTCTGAAATTCATATAAAAACCCACAAATAATTTTATTGTTAACGGTTTTGCAATATTCATCTCTTTCACTTCTCTACCTAATAAACTGTTAAAAGTTCCATCAACAACTAGTGGGTTAAACAAGTTAATCCATGTTGCTTAAAATAAAATATTTTTTATAATTTTATTTGAGCTTAACAAAATAAGGTGTCCAAATAGTTTTTTTTTTTTTTTTTTTTTTTTTTTTTTTTAGTATTTAAAGAAAGAAATTTTTAAATTTTAACATCCGAAAAAAATTATTGTCGTTTAGAATTTGGTTGTATTACTCAAAATCAAAATCAAAAAAAAACAAACAAGATGCCGATCCATTCATTAAAAATGGGGGGTTTTTTTTTTTCCGATCGGTAAAAAAACGTTTTGCTGCACCTCAAAGATTGTGATGCACGTGATTTTGACTTTCAAAACTTTAAGATGCATTCTGTAATTGGATCTGGTGCATTTGCTTCAGTTTATTATGCATACTGGAAAGGAACACAAGTGAAATTTGCAATTAAAAAATTCGCTGACGATTGTAAGGAAGAAATTATTCCAAATGAGGTTTGTTGTTTTATTATTTGTGTAGCTTTATGTAGATACTTTTTGATATACTTATTTAGATAAATTGATATTTTAGATTCGTTTAATGAAAAAAGTGGATTACCATCCAAATATAATTAGATTTATTGGAGTCGTGAAATTTGAAGGTAATATAATAATTGCACATTTAATTTATTTTAAGTAACGTATTTTCTTAATTTTATTTAAATTTTTTAGATGAAATAAATTATTCGCTCATTCTTGAATATGCAAATGGTGGAACACTAGGAAAATATTTATGATACTTTCAAAAATAAATGGGAAAGTCAATTGATATTTGCTCATGATATTGCAAGTGCTATATCATGCTTACATGATAATAAAATTATTCATCGAGATCTTGTATGTTTAATAAATTAATTATTATTATTTATAATTTGATTTAATTATATATTAATACGATTTTTTTTTATTAAAGCATCCCGATAATATCTTAATTCATCAAGGTGTGATAAAATTAGCAGACTTTGGGTATTCGGTCCTGCGAGGATCAGATTTCTATACCAAAGCGTCACGTGGTGTAATCCCTTACATGGATCCTAAATTTTTGGAAAATCATTCGTATGATTTAACCGAAAAATCAGACATTTACAGCTTGGGAGTATTGTTCTGGGAATTAACAAGTTGTTCATCACCTTTCAATTTTGCAACAACAGACGGTATTTCTATACAGTTGAAAATTCTTGAACTTATTAGAGAAAAACCTATTACAACCACAAATGGTAGATTTGTTAAGCTTTACCAAAGTAAGTATAGTTTTTATTTTGTTAAAAATACATTTTTTTTATTATATTCTAATCTTAATCATTTATTATTTATTTAAATAGAATGTTGGCAACATGAACCAAATGAAAGACCCGAGATCAATCAAGTAATTTCCGAACTTAATAGTATTAGCAATCATTCCGAAGGAAAAAAGGCTACAGCAGTACGTCGTCAACCACCACGTCGCCAGGAAGCGACGCGTCAACAAGAAACTCAGGGAGTGACAGAAACTCCTAGTAGCCAAGAAACGGCAGATACTCCACGTCAGCAGGAAAGTGTAAGAATTGAAGAACTAGGAAATGATGAATGTTTAAAAACAGAAGAATTGAATAATGAAGAAATTGAAAAAACAGTTGTAGATTGTGATATATCTAGATATGACAAAAATTAATAGCTTAAATTTCTTTTATTTTTTATTTTTTGTAAGTTCTTGTATAGATTCAACGTTATAAATATTTTTCCTCTCTTTTATTACTTTTTTTCTTGGGTAAGGTTTAAAATAAATAAAAAATATACTCTTTCATTGATTATGTTGAACGAAACTTCAAAGTATTGTTATATAATTTCATTATCGAGATAGAAAAAAATAATATTCACTTAATTCAATTCATATAATTTCATATGAAATTTAAAAATACTTGCCCTCCATAAATCCTTCACCAATTGAGTATTAAAACTAATTTTATCATTACAAACTTGGAGAAAAGTTCTTACAGCTTTATCTTATTAGAGTTAAATAAATCACGTGGCATAAAACTGTGGAATATCATGATATCACGACTGCGCCGTGAATAAATTGACGTAATACTCGCCGTCCTACGAATTGAAACATGTTTCGAGGAATGCAACTTACTTTTGATATTGGTAGTTATGACTTAGGATTCGGTTCAGGACATTATACACCCAGGATCCAATGGAATAAACTTTATATTTCTGTTGCCATTATGAAATTCGGTTGGAGTAGATTTTCAAACAAACAACCAAGAAACATAAATATAAAGGATCAGTATGTTGCGTACTTAATTATAATTTTAAAAAGTAACATAGTTTCAACCAATATTTTTAATCGCATTGAAGATAGCCAGATCTTAAATTCGAAATTGATTGCCACGCCACAAACTTAAATGGCAAAAATGGCAAGAAAATTTAATACCAACTCAAATTAGATAAATCATTTATTTTTAAATCATAATTTAAAAAAAAAAAAATTGATGGTTTGATAAAATTATAAAAGATCGTAATCGAATGTTGAAATGTTATCGTTTATTGCATCACTAAAACTAAAACTCCGACATAACTTCATAATATAGCGGATCATTATTTTTCTAAAATAAAAATGGACAAATAACATTAATACATTATAAACTTATAGTGAAACAAATACAATATTTGAGACATATACTTACAATAATATCTTGTTTGCACCATTGCTTTAATTTGGCGCAAGCCCAATCTAAATCCAATAAGAAGGCTAGTTCATACCATTTTCTTGCTTCGACTAAATCCTTATCAACGTGAATTCCATTTTCATATTCTTCGGCAACAATTTTCATTGCCTTTTCATATCTATTAGAAGCAGATTTTAAATACCATTTAAACGCTTCATTTTCATCCTTCTTTTCGTTATAATTACCATGTCCATCGCTTTCTTTTTGATAACATTTTGCAACCTTATATTGAGCAATCATGAATCCATTAATGGCGGCTTTTAGATACCATTGAAAAGCGGCAAGACTACTCTTGATGGCGCCAAAACCCTTCTTGTAACAACAACCAACTTTATATTCGGCACTAATATAACCACCTTGTGCGGATTTCATATACCACGTAAATGCTTCCTTACTACCGTCTTTTAAAAATAAATCTGTCTTACCAAAACAATGAACTGAAATGGTACTATGAAAATAATATTCGGCCAACATGAATTGACACCAGATATTCCCCTCGTTAGCATACCTTTTCCATAACGCAAAAGCTTGTTTAATGTTCTTTTTGGTACCACATCCAATAAAATGAGCGTTAGCCAGTAAAGCTTTTGATATTGGATCATTATTGTCTTTTCCCATTGTATAACAATGAAATGCCAAGATCTTATTTTGTATTGTCCCTATACCGTTCTCGTAAAGCATCCCAAGCAAAGATTCATAATATTTTTGTGATGGAATATTTTTGACTAATTCAAATATTGACGCTGGATTTAATTGTTTCGATTTTAACCAATAATCAAATTGTTTTGGAAAACTGACTAAATCTATTCTAACCTGTGATTGATAAAATTCAAATAGTTCCTCAATAAAACTAAGTTGCGAATTAATACTAGGTGTGGGAACTAATCTTTTATGGTTGTTATTACTATTAATATTGATATTATTTAAACTTGATATTGATGAATAATGTGATAAAGGAGATGTGACTGTTGTGGATATATTTGATGCTAAAGTGTTTCTATAACAATATGAATTTGACAATGGTGATGGTAGTTGAGATGGTTGATAATAAAAACTTATATTGGTGGAACAACTTGTCCTTGGATTTATAAGAATTGGATTCTCTTGAAATCCAACTCCACTTCTTCTAGATGATTTCATATTATTTTCAACTATTTCTGCCGAGCTATGTCTTCTTTCTTTTTTATCTTGTTCAGATAGTGACTTTACAACGAAATGTTTAAGATCTGGAGATGAAATCGAATTACGCGGTTGATTTGACGTTTCTTCGTCGGTATTGTCCATTTTGACGTTCATGCTCTGTTGTTGTTCTACGTTCTTTTGTTCCGAATCTATTTTAATGTCTTTTATGCGTTGCAACCTTCGTCGATTTTGCTCTTGTTGTAGTTTTGTTGATTGTTGTGGTGGTGTGTCAAATGTTATTTGTGAATCAACCACAATCTGATCTGAATCGGACATTTTTTCCTCTAGAAATATTGATTGTAATTTAGCAATAGCTGTCGAAAGGGAATAACGTTCTTTGGGATTATAGTTTGTTAAATTATTAATGGTTTCAAGATAATCTCCAGGACAATCTTTTGGAATAGTTTCAATTAAACCCTTCATGGTACACATGTTTGATTTTTCTTTTTCTATCTTTTCATCGTCTATATTTTCATATGGAATCATCCCGTTGCATGCAACTATATATCGAAATTGAAATTTAATTTTGTTCAATCTGTTGGAACTTAAAAATAAATAAATTGGTAGAGCACTTACCGCTCCAAAGAATAAGTCCACAAGAATAAATATCTGACAAGTGAGGTTTTCTGAAGAAAAAAAAATTTTTATTACAATTTATCGTTTGTTAAAGAAAAGCGGAAATATAGGAAGCCTTCAAATCAAAATAAAAAAAAAATACATACTCCTCAAACCACATTTTAATTTTCTCGTCTTTACAAATTCTTTCAGGTGAGAACCAATATAAGGAATCTCTCTCAACACCCTTTTCAACATCACTCTTATCAGCTCCTCCTTTATTATTATTAACCTTAAAATCCGTTAATTTGATTATACCATCTTCCATAATTAATATGTTTGACAATTTCAAGTTCAAATGGAAAATATGTTTTTCATGACAATATTCCATTCCCAATAGTATTTCGTTTGATAATTTAGATTTTTCTTGCCATGATAATGAGGAGGATTTCAAGTAATCATGTAAATTGCCTTTGGGTGCGTATTCGAATATTAAGGATAATTTTCGATTTGGCAATGACATTATCCCAAGACATTTTATTATATTTGGATATGAACGTAATCTGTAATATATATAAAATTCATGTCGTGTCGTTTCTTGATCATGCTATTTATTCGTAAAAAAAATAAAAATAAAAATAAAATAAAATAAAAATTTTTTATATAAATGTTAGAAATATATATATATTTTTTTTTTTAAAAAAAAAAGATGCATTAAAAAAAGATGTACAAAAAAAATTTGTACCTCGCTTATTTTTATTGCCACATCTTGTCCCTTAAAATTTCCTTTATAAACTTTGGTTTTACCCCCATTATTCGATATGGGATTTTCATTTCTAGCAACTTCATCTTTCTTAATATACATCTTTCGTAGTGCCATTTTTATTTTTATTTTTATTTTGGATTTGGGTTAAACTTATTGTATTATTATATGCTATGGATAGTTCAAAAATTTTTTTTCCAAAAATTTTTTTGGGGGAAAGGATATTTTTTAATTTTTTTTTTTTTTCGTAAAATGAACAACGCCTCTGATTATTTCTAATTGAACAATGGTATAAATAATAGTTTACGCATGCAAATGATCCACTTGTACTTTCCCGCTAAAAAAATCCTTTCTTTAAACATTGCTATTGTATGTATATCAACAAAATACCAGCCCAAATAAAGTTCAACAATTACCAGAAATAAAGTCGAAGTTTCGTTGGTGCATGTTACATTAATGTTTGTAAGAATATCAAATGTTGATACTTTTAAATGAATGAGAATTAGGTTTTTGACCTTTCATTTCTTACTGTTGCGGAAAATTTCTAAACCATAAAGCATTTAAAAATATTTTTCTACTTTTTTGTGATCAGCAATTTACCGTAACTTACCGTGATCTTGCGCAGCAAATTTTTTTCACTTTGGTTGGATGATCACGAAATTTAAGAATTAATATTAATAATGATGGGATAACTAACGCAAACTGTCTTACTTTGATTATAAAAATAATCAATGGTTCTATAAGGTTTGAAAACTCGTTACCGTAAAGGAAAGTAGGTCCAAAATTTAACCGCGACATATTTATTTTAACATTTCGTATTTGTTCTTTACTACCTTCACTCATTAAAGTAAGTTTATATTCGTTGAACCCGAGAATAGGTAGCGACATATGCTAAAGCTGAAAATCGCGATATGGTGTCCCACACACAATTTATGAATTTATGGCGTGAATCTGTCATGTAATATTGCTGTAACTTGTTAATTGTATTGCATCGATTATGCATCAATTAATGCTTGATCATGCATACGGTTGCTGTCATAATGATACCTTTAATAGCGCTCTTCTTTTAAATACGCGCATCTTTATAATACTCGCATGGATGCGCTCCTGTAAGTTTAATATAATGCTCTTTCTTTATAATAAACTCTACCTAACAGTGATGGCCTTTTGGACCATTGGATTATTGGACCTTGTCCAATCCAATTCCAAATTTTATTGGACTATTGGACTTATATCTAGTTCCATTCCATTTAAAGTAGTGTTATATAATTATTTAAAGAAAGCTATAAAAATTAATTTTATATTACAATAATAAGTTATAACCTTTGTAATTAAATAATTACATTAATTTTACTTAATAAAATTTTATAAAAAAAAAACTTATATTGCTAATTCAAATTATTTTTTTTATTTTTTATTTTATTATTATTATTACTATTATTATATATACAGTCAACTCTCTATAAATTTACCCCATTGGGATTGAGCAAAATCGTGCATTTATATAGGGTGTGCATTTATAAAAAGTATATTATGAAAGTATAAAAATTTTTTATTATAAGATAAAATTTAAATAAAACTTCTGTACAATAATAAATGTTACATCCGAATGCTAATAATAATAAAAAATCACATCTGAACAGTTGGAGGTAGATTATACTATATAAAATAATAATAAATAGTCACATCCAAACTGTCAGAGGCAGCTTTTATTATATAAAATAATAATAAAAAGTCACTTCCAAACTGTCAAAATGGCTTTTATTATATAAAATAATAATAAAAAATCAGATCTGAACTATAAGAGTAGTTTTTATTATATAGAATATTAATAAAAAATCATATCTGAACTATCAGAATAGCTTTTATTATATAAAAAGTCATACCTGAACTGTCAGACGTGGCTTTAATTATATAAAATAATAATAAAAATCATATTAAATTGTCAAAATAGTTTTTATGATAATAAAAAGATACACCCGAACTGTCAGATACAATTTTTATTATTTAAAATGATAAACAAAGGGTGTACATTTATTTAGAATACATTTATAAAGAATTGACTATATATGATTAATATAATTATAAATATATACTTTATATATTAAATGTATTATCACTAAAGATGAGGGACGAAACTCAAAAAAGACAATTAATAAACAGCCGAAATTATATTAAAATATAATGAGAGGTACGACGAAATCCTGAAACCTGAAATTAACTGAAACTATATTAAAAATATAGTAAGGGATATGATGAAATTATTTTGAGGGAGTTTCAGCTGGCATCTTTAATTATCACATAAAATGTGATAAAAATATAATATTTTAATAAAGTATAATTAATATATTAAAACTATTAGACAATATTATTGAACATAGTCCATTATTTTATTGGACTAATGTGGACTTAATCCAATTCCATTAGTGTCAATTATAATTGGACTTGGAGTGAACTAGTCCAATAGTCCAATTCTAATAGTCCAAATTTTTTTTAATTGGATCTTGTCCAAAGCCATTATTGTTATCTAATAGTCGACGACAAATAATGTGAGATGTATTATTGTCATGTGATGAAATAAATTTGTAGTGATATAATATTTTTTGCAATTAGAGAAATAAAAAGTTATCATTGAGTTTTGTTGACTTGCTTTTCAATTTTTTTTATGTACTGTAATTTTGTGACATGCGTCTAAATTTGTCTTATGTCATTAATGTAATGAATAATATAAAATATTTTATTGGAAGAGGACTACTGATTCTAATAATTATAATCATGATTCAAATATTTAAACTGAAATTTCAGTTCCTGTTCAATTCTAATCCAATTTCATCTGATTCAATTATCCCAAAATCCAATAATCAATAAAAATCATTTGAAGATCAAACCAAATAAATGGATCAACAGATCAAAAAATTTGATGATCTATGATTTAAAAAAAAAATGCATTTAAATTCATTTTAATAAGACATTAATAAATGCACAAAATTCAAAGAAATTGTTTCAAAATGTGATCCAAAAGCTAATACATGCTTGAAACATATTAATATACTTCCAACATCAATTATAATAGAAACTTCAAATATATTTCCTATTGAGTTTACACCTTTATCTAAAGAAGCAGTTATTGATCTTATAAAGATTTGTATTTATTATTTTTTTTAATATTAATTTATTCAATATAATTTCTAATATATTTATATAAATAGCGAAAGTAAATATTATAACTATATAAGCAGAATCATAAAAATTTAAAGGAGATTTTTCTTTGGTAAATTTTATCTAAAATATTTGTTTAAACTTTTATTTATATATTCATATTTACTTATTTATTATTTTCTTATACTATTCAGCCATCAGTTAAAACAATAAACGTAAATAAAGTATCTCAAAAAAATAAATAAATCTAAGTAAAGATAATTCCAAATAGACAAATATGAAAATTAAAAATTTTGAAATGAAAATTTAAAAGATTGGAAACAATAAAGAGCAAAGTTTATCAAAAGATAGTAATTGCAAATATATTACCAGGTTGATCTTATGAGTAAATTAGAAATAAGGTAGAAAAATTTCACAAAATGTACTTGCAAAAAAAAAGTTAATTATACTGGTAAAGGAAATGTAAATTGGATTTGATTTTTACAAATAGAAAAAATTTTATCAAAAAGCAAAGCTGTTAATTCAGATTATATTATAGAATTTTTAATTACAGATTTTATTTCTGATAATAAAAATTTAAATAATAAAAAAAAATGATGGAATTGATAATCCAAAAAGAAAAAACAAAATAAATAGAATTGGTAACTTATTTGAAGTATAAAAAAAAAATTTAAAGAAAGTAAAATTCAAAAAAAATTTGAATTGAAAAAAAAATGATTAATGTAATATTATAAATTAGAAAAGAGTAAGCTAGAAATAGAAAAATTGCATACTGAAAATGAAAAGGTTAAATTAAAGTTAGAAATATTAAAATTTTAAAGAATAAATAAATAAATAAATAAATAGAAGCATTTGTTGAGATTTTGTTTTTTAATAATTTTTTTGTAATGATCTTGTTAATACTCAATATATAATTGATAAAATCTCTTTGTAATATCGACTTTGTATGTTTGATATGTATCTAATGATCTGTTATCATTATTCAGAATAGAATAATGATTTTATTATCATTTAATTCATATCGAACAATCTGTCATCATTGTTCGAAATAGAATGATAATTTTTTATCATTTAATTCATATTAAACAATCCATCATCTTTTATAATTGAAAAATGATTTTAATCACTCAATTTATATCGAACGATCTATTATCATCATTAAAAATAAAATAATAATTTTTATTGTTTAATTCATATTAAATGATCTGTTATTATCATTCAGAATAGAATGATAATTTTATTATTCAATTTATATCAAATGATTCATTATCATCATTCAGAATAGAACAATGATTTTTTATTATTTGATTCATATTGAATAATCTGTTATCTTTCATAATTGAAAGATAATTTTTATCATTTAATTTTATCAAACAATGCATCACTAGCCCTGTTCATTTCTAGATTGGATCGGATTGATTGAAAATTAAGGTCTTGTATGATTGGTTGCTAATGCAATCAGGAGGTCGATCAATGTGAACAAAATTTTTGCAGTTCACCTTGATCAATCTTTTTTTTACGCGTCACGTCCTTGTACACATCATTTCCTTAAAATAAAAAATGTCTAACCCAAATTTTACTACCTTTCGTTCAATTATTCCAAAACTACCAAATCCACAAGAAATATTTTTACAAAATCCAAATATTTTAGATGT